GTACTTGTTTGACCTTAGTAGGTGCAGGCCAGCCAAGTACACCTTTAACTTTAGCAGGGTCCATCTGTACCGAGTTCTTGCTAATGATCATGCCAAGATACTCGATTGAGGACTGTTCAAAGAAGCATTTCTCCAGTTTGGCGTATAAGTCATTGTCCCAGAGACGCTGTAGAACTGCTTTTACTAGTCGTCGGTGTTCTTCGAGATCATCCGTAAATATGAGGATGTTGTCTAGGTAGACTACCACCTTTCCAGTGCGAATCAAGTCTTTGAGGACTGTATTCATCATTGTTTGGAAGGTGCTAGGAGCATTGCAGAAACCGAAGTACATTACAGTGGGTTCGAAGAGGCCACGATGTGTGATGAAGGTGGCTTTTTCTTCGTCTCCCTCCCTAATCCTTATGTTGTTGAACCTCCATCTCAGATCAAGCTTCGTAAATATGCTAGCATGTGAGAGTCTGTCGATGAGGTCCGAAATGCATGGGATTGGGAACTTGTTCTTCTTCGTGACTGCGTTGAGGTTCCTGTAATCTTGTACGAGCCTCAGTGATCCATCTTTCTTTTTAACGAAGAAGATGGGTGCTGCAGTTGGACTCCTTGATTTCTTGATGTAACCTTTGGCCAACTCTTGGTCTATCCACGTGTCGAGCGAATTTCTTTCCTGTAGGTTCATAGGATATAACTTTGCCGGGCATGGTAACGATGCCTCTGGAACAAGTTCGATTGGATGATCATAGGGCTTTCTTGTGAGCATTCGTTCTGACTGCTTCTTGGAGAACACATCGCCATACTCATGGAAGTGTTTGGGGACATAGGCTGACCAGTAGTCTTTGTCCTGTTCTTCTTTTTGCGGTGCTCTATCCTGATTCCTCTTGGTGTCAAGACCCATAATGAGTGATGCTACGGCCTATGCATCGGGGTCTTCTGATAATGACACCTATCTGATGAAGCTGTCTATATCGTTCCAGTTGTCACCTAACTCCTGAGAATCGACAAACTCCATCAGGTCTTCGATGTGGGGGATGTTTGTGTCTTCCAGGTCCTCCTCCTGGACTGCTACCTGTGAGGGTGCGCATCTGTGTGGGCACTGGGTGAAATTGACTGTGAGTTTTCCCCAATCCACTTTGGGATTATGCTCCTTGAGGAAGCTCATGTCTAGTATGATGTCCTTGTGACCTATATCAGTAACCAGAAGACTTTGTCTGCTTGTGTGGTTTCCGATCGTTATACTTAGAAGAACCCTTTTCTTAATGGTTCCACCCTTGTTGTGAGATGCGTCTGCATTATAGACCCTGATCTCCTTCTCAAGTGAGATCGTAGCAAGATTCAACTGATCAACCAGCCACGGGTTGATGTAACAAGAATATGCTCCTGAATCGAGGAGCGCCTCAGTCTGGACTTCCCTTACTCCCTGTTTGAGATGAACAGGTAAATCGATCGCGTGTTTTGACAAACCAGTAGATGTGATGTATAAAAAAACTTGATACTGGTACATGCGAGAGCGAGTAGGTACTATTACAATGTCTATGGGAACTCTGGCCAGACCTCAGAGAACTCGCTGAAGAAAATCCTCATCATCTTCTACCTCCGTGATCCTAGCCGCTTCGATGGCCGGTTCCGGTTCTGCCTCCTTTTCCTTTCCCTTCACGTCATAGCTGGCGATGAAAGCACAGACTGCTTCTTCCCTCGCCTTGCTGTCATCGGAGCTGGTGGATGATGCCGTTGTTGATATTGCCCTGGTTGCTTAACCCCGCTTTGGCATTTCAAATTTGTCCTTGTACTTGGGGTCTGGGCATTGCTGTTTAAAAATGAAGGGGTGTTTCCTGCATCGTATGCACAGCTTCTTTTCCAGCCATCCTTCTTGCTCCTTGGTAAGTGTGGATACTCGATCCACAACCATTGTGTTAGGGTCTTTCGGAGCCCGTGGTGCCCATGATGATGATGTTGTTACCATTCCACGCTGTCCTGCCTTGTCAGCCCTGAACTTGGACTCCAGTTGAAGACATAGGTCGAGGTATTCCGGCCATGTGATGGGGTCAGAAATTCCCAGACTGTCTCGTGTGACCATTGCCTGGTGTACGTCCTTGCTTCGGTGCTCAGCAATGTAACCGATGAGTGCAGTGTGCCCTAAGTTGGTCTTAGTGGCCCATTGACAGAACTGTTCTGCGAAGGATACCATTGTGGGATACGTCTTGCTGCAGATCTCCTTCAAATGCTGCTGCACATCCTTGTTCGGGTCAAGGGTCCTGTAGTTTACTTTGAGAATGTTGACGAAGTCTTCCCATGTGCCAAGTGCCTGCCGTGCCGCTGCCCTGGTCATGTATTCGGACATGTATGTGAACGCGCCTCCTTCCAAATGCAGCAGGGCCGTGGTAATCTTGTGTTCATCATCATTGATCTCGTTCCACTATATCCATATACCGAGTTGTTGGAGCTAGTCCTCTAGACTTCCTTTGCCCGAGTAGTGTGGAGGCTCAGCAATTTTGATGTGTGGCTTCTGCGATTGGACCGTACCGGATGTTTGACCTTGCATCACAGTGACACCGCTTGCTTTGAGCGAAGCTAGCTCATGTCACAGCTTAGTGTTAGCTGACGTGATTTCCATTATTTCCTTGCCGATGTCAAGCATTGCTGCTTGGGTCCCTGAGAGTTCATCGTTCAAAACTGTCATATGCGCATCTTGCACGAGGATCCTATCCTTAAGCTTTCCGATTTCTGTCTGGAGGACTGCCTCCTTGAGTCGGTGTTCGCTTTTGTTATTTTGGATCATTGATTCGAAGGCCTTTTTGTGCTCGTACATCTTGTTCCCGAGCACATTGTAGACCTTGGTGACTTCAGTGCTGACCGTAAGCTTCATTGCGATGATTACCCATTCTCGGATGTGATCCGGGACTTCACCGGGGGCGGACTGTCTGAGTGCATCTTCTAGATGCTTGAATTGGTGTCCGTCAAACTCCCAGATGGGGGGACATAAGCAGGAAGGAGTGATGGTGTCGGGGATGTGGGTCCTCCAACTTGTGATGTGGAATCCTGGGGCCCTAGCCCAGGTTCAGGTGAGTTGCGCTGCGAGGCACGTGGGCTACTGCCATCGTGTGGTGTTTCGACATTTGTGTGGAGTATGTCATCCATTCTCTGTCTGAATGTCGATGCGTATGCTCGATCAGCTCCCTCCATTGTGATGTAAAGATATGTAGGCTAATACAAAAAGTTCAAGTATCGCTTCTTCGCGATAAAGACCAGGGCTTTGGCAATCTTCTGCAACCTTTCCTCTTTCCCTATCTGCTTGAAGCTAATGCTCCCTATTTCCAGGCAGACTGTATTGATGACCTGTTTCTCGATGAACATGTAGGTGCATGTTACAGTGTGTAGGTCAGCACAGACCTTATCAAGCTCTGTCACGAGGCTGTAGATGGGTCTCTGATGCTCGTCCTTGAGACGATATGAGAATGCTTCTAGTATAGGCTGGAGCCTGAAGCAGGTAGCATCTACCTGCTTTGTGAGGGTCTCGATATGGATTGTCAGCCTGACTCTAGATGGGAGTGGGCGAATGGGACGGGCGACGGTGTTGGTCTTTACAAAGTTCAGAAGGGGCCGAACTGGAATAGGAGCGATGATGGGGGGAGGAACTGCATTAGATGTGATGAGTTCTGGAGGTGGTGCTGGCTTGCGACCACCAGTGGTGAGGCGTCCTCATCTGGGCTTGTAGTGTTCGAGTGGTGGGGTGTGATCGCGAGGCTTGCGGATGATTCTGCGCTTTATAATGTGCATAGTATCAACAACCCTGGCTGCTGCTCTCTGCCTGTCTGTAGATGAGGCGCCTAGTGAGGCAAGGGTGAGGAGCCTTCCACGCTCCTTGTTGGTTTCCTGATGCTTGTAGTGGGCATCGAGGTTGATCCTGGGGGTGGCCTTGCACTTTGAGGCTTTGGGCAGCTCAGAGTCTTGCTGAGGCTCACGCCAGGTAGAGATCAGATTGGAATGTGTGTCAAAAAAGCCACGCGCTATGGCTGAAACTGCTTGCACTGAAAATACATGGCCGCTTGTGTTAGACACTAAGCAGGAGCGCAGAAAATTGTCAGATTGTTTCTAATGTCATGGTACCACCGGACAAGAGATCAAAAAGACTAAAAAGGGGCAGTCACGTGGAACGTGCTGCCCTGATCCCCCTGATCCCAATGAATCCCCCTGAACCCTATGTGGCACAAGAGCCTCTGACTTACTAGTCGATGTGGGAGGTGCAGGAAAGGGTGAAAGATATATCAAGGAGCTGGTAAGCTCAGTGGGTGCTACAGATGGTAGATGAGGAGAAACAATCTGAAGTTTCGTCCTCTACATGGCTGGTCTTATATACATGTACAGCGGGCTATCTTACCTAAGCTACCTATCTACGGGTATAAGCTAATGGCCATACATGAAACAATAGGATGTCCAGAAGTAGATCAATAAGTGGGAAGATCGATGGTTGCTGCAGTAATGCGTGTGCTCATCGTGCCTATCTTGGTTTCCCTTTTGTTCTCTGGTGTGAACATCGTGCCTATCTAGGCTTCTGGCTAAACTAATAGGAAGTGGAAGGCCGATGCATAATAATAGTCCTTGTTTCCTTTGTTCTCAAATGGGTGCCTCTATTGTATCCTGGAATAGACAGGTCCGACCGTATCATCCGCGGGTCTGGACCATAACATGTGATGTGGACTATCACCTGATCTCTACGCATCGTGTCTGTGGCTGAGTGGCATGAGATATTGATGAAGCACATGATCTGTTGTGTGAGAGAAGTCACGTGAGGACTTTGTGGTGAAAATCTGTGACACAAGGGCGATAATTTTGCTTCCACAGTCGAAGCGTTGATAAAGGCAACATGGGAGAGCAGTGAGGAGGCAGAGAATTTTTGTCTTCCAAGCAGAGCCATCAGTGAGTCGCGAAGAGACAGCAGGAGAGAATTGCGTACAGTTCATGACACTAGTTCCAATGGGTGTAGATCAAAATGAAACCACACTGAAAAGTTACATCTTGGACAGATGTGAGTGAGTGGTCCAAGTAGGAAGACGGGCAATACCTACCTGATTTAGTTCTAATACAATGACATGATCCTTGAAAATAGCATATTCAGCGAACTGTGAGAGCACCCACTGAACTTTCACCTTCTCTAGTGTTTGGGACCTCTCCGTTGACCATGTTCGGGCTGGAAAGTTGAACCATCGAGTGAAAGGATCCGGGCCGTTCAACACTGCTGGGAGGTATCGACGAACAGTGAAGCGAGGATGTCCATCTATGATATAAATGTGTTCAATAGAGCCTGCGATTGTGGGAGATGAACGGTTGCCATGTGGATAGAACATAACCAGGCTATTGCTGATGTGCGTGCGTGCTCGAGCAAAGATGATATGATTGACATGAAGGCGAGCCCGCAGAGGGACTCATGGGAGAGTGATAAGTGTCTTGAGATCCTCAGGAGTCTTTGTCATAGGAAGTTCCTTCACTGCTTCCTCATCGGCAGTGATAATCTCACAGATATGAGCTCCATCGCTGAGCATTTCTCTGTACAGCTTTTCGAAAAGTATCTTGCACTGTCAAACACCGTCTGGAGCATCAGATCAAGAGAGCCATTGCCTTAGATTCGCTCCATGCAAGAATGTGCTATGCATAGTTCCCTCAAGCTCACCTTTTTATACAATTCAATATGCAACAGCGAGAAGAGAAAAAAATGCGCACTGAATTTGTGGTCTATTGGTAGACATTGCAGTTTACCGATCAGCCTTTCAAAGGGAAAACACCACCAGGAATGAACCGGGCCAAAAAGCTTGAGAAAATCAGAAATGTGAAAGGCCATATGATGGATAGATTCATGTTCTAGGTTCGGGAACAGAGTGGACAACTGGCTGACGTAGTTCTGCATGTATTGTTGGTAGTGTTGGATGTGACTCAGAGTGGTTGCATGTTTGCATGCGAGTAGTACCGCACAAACGAGCTGCATAGTGTGGTCCAAGATCTGACTCAATGCAGATGTGTTGTCGTCGGAAGCACACAGCGAGCCTAGACCCAAAAGGAGGATGAAGGTGATAGGAAGGTGGATGGTGAACACGGTACACCACTTGTCCACTTTAGGCATACCAGCTGCAGCAGCACCAAAGTTATATGGCACAGAGCTGACCCAGGATGGGGTTTCTGCATGTTGGATGACATGGCGGAGGCGGTCAAGCACTGCGGGCATTGTGATCTTGATGGTATCAATACTGCTGGATTTTCTTGGGTGTCATAGATGCTTAATTGTATCACATCACCACAATTTGATGAATGACTGACCCATTGAACCAATGCATGTGCAATATCAACCTTAGTCACTCAGCCACAACTTTTGGAGGGTATGGTCACACCGTGTACATTTTCTAGTACACAGGTGAGAGAACGGCGTAGGCAATTGGCAAGGTAGCTCTGCAGACCAGAAAGGGAACAAATGCTGGGTTTGATGACCTCACCATCATCTTGGAGCTTCGAAGTGAGTGCTCTGTGAATATGATTGAGATCTTTCAACTCCTTCTGACTCCACTGGTCAGAGGCTGCCAGTCTGTCCTCAACAGCATGGTCCACCTCAGCCAAACTGTCAGTGGCAATCGCAACGGTCAGTGCCTCTTCAGCATTTATGAGTGGCTCATCGTCAAAAATGTTGGAGTGACTGAAAGTCCAAGTGAAAGCAGGTGGTCTTGCAGGTTTGACATGAGCAGCAGTATCGGTGAGCTCGAGAGCGTGTAGACAGTGAAACTTGACAGCACCTTCAAGCAGGCAGTGCATACTGTCAATGATGAGCTGTTGACAAGGATTTCAGTATGGTAATCTCCAGAATGGAGACCATCGAATACCATGCTTTGCGAAGATGGTGTCCTGCTCAGCGACAGTCTTTGCATCCCACCATGCTTCGGCCGCTGACTGCATGACATCCACATTGCGGATGTGCCACTCTGTATAATCAGAACGTCCGTGCAAGCTCCGCCAATTCTTGACTATGTTTCTCCAATCGTCCCGCACTTCCCAGCAGTCACACATGGAGCTGAAGATCTTGGAGATGGACGAAGCGAGCTGAGAGGTTTTGCGAGCTGATGGGAGATCACATACAACAATAGCTATTGCACATTTTACCAGCAGTCCTTCTGGGTGCAGTGTGGTCTGAGTAAGTCATAGCCCAGTATACCACATGACGAGCATGTCATCAATGACAGGATTAGTGTAGTGGTTCAGTTCTGTGAGTGAAGGCTCAGTCAGACCAGGGATGATGCCCACGAGATACATATTCTCAGCCTTGTAACATACATATCTCAATGGGTAAATTAAGACACGCTAGGGCAATGATACCAACTGTTGTACTCGGACCACGGACTTTCATATCATCAGTAGCAAAGAAATCAATGCACGTCACGAAGACTAGTCATGCCTCCCCCTCAATGAGGCTGACGAAGCACTTCTCATCTGGACCGTGGAAGCCTTGAAGGAACTCACCATGGAAGGGAGTTTCCATGACTGGTGGGGCAGGTCCATCTAAATCAGCACAGAATTCCTCGATGTGCTTCTCGAGATCTCGTCGAGAGAAAATGCCAGAAAGATAGTCATCAAACCTGTGATGGGTGAAGGTCTTCAACAGAGACCCATTCTGGTCAAGAAGACGAGCACTGCAGTGGGACTGTGGTGTTGGCTGATTCATACATGTCAAGGGATAGGATGCAGGGCCATCTTCATGATTGTAATGCACATTGCACTCCGGATATACTGCATGGACAGTGGTCTCGCCATCCATCTGAAACTTGGATGCGATTGTGTCAACCATAGAAGGCATTTGACCTAAGGTTTGTGGAGGTAATGGGGCATCTGCATCGTCCACTTGTTGGCAAATCATCCAGAGTATGATGTTGAGGTCACTGCCATGCCGACTGAGCCCAAGGATGACTTTGCAAATATATGTGAGCAAAAAGCAGATCTGCGTGAGCTCTGAATAGCGATCTATTGGGCGCTCAAAATGATGACCTGGAAATGATGATATCAGCAAATGCCAGATAGTATGTCAGACAGACAAGCTCACTTGTGTCCACTACCCTCAGTTCTGCTGGCAAGCTGATGACCTTGCTCCATCTTGTAACAACCTCTCGTAGCTGAGCCAACCAAGTTGATAGTTCCTGACAGATCACTAGCATGTGACCATCTTGACGGTCAAGAAACTTGAGGGACTGGCTTGCCATTTGGAGAGATGTGTGGAGCTCATAGTATAGCTCCAACATTGGCGGAAGTTTGGCTTTCTTCTCATACAGCAATATCATGATGAATGAGAGTGGCGGAGTGTAGTTGCTGCTGAACTGCAAACTCTGCAGCATTCTGACATCTGGGTGGCAGATTTTCGGAATCTCTATCTAGAGCTGGTGATCTGAGGTTGAGGTGCACGTGAGGAAGGGTGGGCATGGGCAGCACTGCACAAAGATGAGGTAGGAAGGGAACTTATGAAATGGAATGATGTCATCCTTTGAAAAGTGTCAAGAAGGGCATTCGCTAGGGAGGCATCTATAGTCTTTTCGAGAACAGGCTGCGTTGCTTGGAACTGGTTTCGTGTCATCCACAGTTTACTGGGTTGTGCATCCACACGAGGGCCTTCATCAGCGATGGTCATCGTCATGATGTGATAAGCAAGATTGTCAGTGGTATCAGCCACTCTTTTCTTATTGGGAACTGCATCAGTGGTGTTCACGTGAATGAGGACTGCATTGTCAGAAACCGCAGTTGTGTGAATGGCAGATGAGTACCACTGTTGCCAATGAGAAAGCGCAGAAGGATGGGCAGGCATGAACAGGGCTATGGGTAGATGTCAAGCAATGATAGATGAGAGACTGCTTGTGATGGTCAACACTGTCAGGATGCATTGCTGAATGAGGGTCGTCGGGGCAGAGATAGAGGCCTCAGTGGGTCACTGGGGCAGAGATAGATGCTGAAGACTGCTCCTAATGGTCAACACTGTCAGGATGCGTTGCTATAAGGGTCATCTGAAGAATCATCCGGACAATGGGAGACTGATTTGGTGTACTTAATTTGGAGACAATTGAGATCATTGGGTGATCTAGATCTATATGTGCTTCATGCACCCTCTTAGATTGACTCAAGTGCCCATTGCAGAGACTCTTCCTCTAATCACATTAGTGTTGACTGATGTGATTGCCTGCTTTCACATCTCTCAGCTCTGCTGGAGAGAACAGACGGTGACTGTGGTCCATCCAACAGAAATAAGTGCAAGCTCACATTGATGACTGAAGTAGACCAAAGTACAATACAGTACAGTCATAAACGCACACATGATGTCTGACACGGTGATACTAGCTAAAGAGTCCAGCACAGATACCAGCACAGAAGCAGATACCGAAAAGCACGAGAGCCTCTGCTCTTACATACTCAATGTGGGAGGGGCATCCTGTGCTGTGTTCCCTTTGTCAAGACTGTGCAAGCATCCTTGCCTCAATATCAGCCAGACTGGGGAAAGCAGCCTTGCTCGTGCCAGACATGGCAACCTGTGCTTGCCATTTACGAGAAGTTTCTGACCCTGAATTTGGAGCAGGATCAGAATCGGATTCCACTGCGGCCTTGCTTATCCGAGGCATGGTAATCTGCACTTGCGATTTGAGAGAAGTTTCTGACCCTGAACTTGGCAGATCAGGAGCAGAATCAGAATCCTCCTTTCTCTCATGCATTCTGGTCTCAACGTTGGCCAAGCTGAGGGAATCGGTCTTCCTCGTGGCAGGTGTGGTGATGGTCTTTCCCGTAGCAGCCCATGCTTCCAATTCTCCTCTCCTTCGATGTTGCCTGGAGGCCTTTTGGCCAGCTCATCTTGCAGCTTTATATTGGTCCTTTCTCGTGGCAGCCTGCACGGACATCTTTATGTCCATGCTGGAACCTGCATGTGTTTGTGACTCTGGCAGTAGGAAGTGCTTGGCAAACCCTTCAAGGTCTGGCAGTGAGAAGTGCTTGGGCAACTCTTCAGGATCGAAGGTGAAGGGAGCATCAAGGGAAGGCTATGGCGGCACCTTGTTCGGTGTCTGCATGGGTTCTTGGTGAGCAGTGCGCTCTACCTCCGGCTCAGGCATCTCGACATTCAGCTTTGGTGGCACCTTGTCCAGTGTCTGTACATGTTCTTGGTGAGCACTGTGCTCTGCTGTCACAGTATTAAGTGGCACCTTTCTTTTTGCACCAATAAAGTCATCATTCGGCAACCACAAGTGGTTATTCGGATGCCAACCTTCATATTGGTCTCACAAAGTGGGTATTTAGACAAACAGCACAATACCACCACATACATTGCGGATATGACTGTGTCTACCACATAACCATCAAGTGCCCATGATTCAGCCACCCAGTCACGTGACACTGATCACTTGCCCTATTTGGAAGTTATCAGGTGTTGGTCACGTGACATCAGGCCACTTGCCCAGAATAAAACTCTTTGGCCCACAATAGGCTTACCCATGCTCATTGGACCACCAAGCTAGCAAGCACCCAATTCGCTGCTCAATAGCAGCACCAACTACATGGCTGCCAAATAGTAGCACCAGCATTAGAATATGTGCTATGGCAGACCCCCCATTGGCCACTCAATAAGTGGCACCACTTCAGCTACTCAAATAGTGGCACCACCGTCAGGCAATTATCTCATTGGGTAAAGTAGGATTACCTTGGTGTATCCACGGCCTTTATAGATAGTTGCTATAGCAAGGTCCAGAACCATTACTGGTTTTGGCAATATGTTCACATGTAGACAGGACAGGACCCCAGTAAGTACATCATAGTTAGGGTACTCAGGGTCCACCACTACATGTATATAAGCACATGAGGATCTAAGGGAAGACCTTAGATTCATTCACCTATTTCATGTGGCCTAACAGCCAATTCACCCCCTTGTTGTGAGCATAAGGCTAAGGGCCCTTTGAGCCCCTTTTTCAGGCTGCATGTCACTGCATGCCTGGTTTGACCCTTCCTGGGCAAACCCCTTTTTTGTGCAGGTCACTGGATGCTGGCAAGCACCTTGCTGCCATTTCTTTGCCTTAGGGCACAGGATCTAATGTGCCATGACATCTGCCTCCAACTCAGATGTCTCGACGTTCGACAAAGGTGGCACCTTGTCCAGTGTCTGCATCCCTTCTTGTCTCTTTACCACCATGTCCTCGTCAAGTGCCCAACAGCAACTGCAACTGACATTGAAATGGAGGCCACCACTGTAGAGTGTGCCTCCCTGGGGGAGTCTCCGCTGGCTAGTGAAAGTAATGTAGAACCATTGCCTGTCTCAGCCTCGCCGAGAACTGTGTTCCTGCGGGATCTACTCACTGACCTAGAGCAAGTACTCCAGCAGCCCATCTGCATGGTCCAGTTGGCCAAAGACCCAGTTATTACGGAGGACATCAGCGAGGGCATCCTGGAAGTAGTCGACACCCTCACGGACACTTTCGCAGAAATCCAACATCGACTCCTCACCAATGAGGAGCTCATGTGCTCGAAAGTTGGCAAGGGGGCATCCGCCATTTTCGCTGCCATTATTCACCAGTGCGCTGGCGATATGGACCCCTTGGGGGCATCCACTCACACTAACCCTGTGCCTGAGCACATCCAGTCCGCCATCGCAAAGGGCATCGAGGCAGGCGTCCGTGTAGCAACTGTTACCATTGATGCATGCCTGTCTGCCATGGAAGCCACACTAGCCTGGTCCCACCCGCTGCCGACACCCCCAGGCCCCCCCGTGGGCCCACGAAAGCTGGCCACCAAGTCTTTCTCTGATGCCGCCCAGAACGCGCGCTCGGACACCACCACAGCCAAGCCAACCACCAAGAAAACATCCGCCACAGCACCGCCGCCACCGCTGCCACTGGTGGACAAAGCCTACCACACTATACTCACATCGGAGCAGGTAACCCACATCTGGGAAATCGCCCCTGCAATTTGGTACCAGCGCATTACCCAGCACATACAGGAAGCTGAAGCCTGGTCAAAGGTAACGTTCCGTGGCATGCGCCTTGCCCCGAACAAGGTGCTGCTCACTTTCTGTCATGATGCTCCGGATACCCTGATTCAGGATGCTCTGCGGGCCATCCATGTCATCCTCAATCTTGAGCCCTGTGCTGCTTCCCCAGTCCCGGTGGGTGCCTGCACTGTCACGCTGCCCCAGGGATTCCACCCTGTTTTGCCCACTATTAAACTGTTTGTTCTGGCATGCCCACGATGCCACCCCGTGAGTGGCTCACCACTCACCGGGGAGGAAATCATGACTGAGCTCCGTACCAACCCCGTCTTCATGGACGTTTACTTCAATGGCATACCTGCCTTCACCACCTTTGCGGGACCAGAGGACATGCGGGAGCGCGCACCCCTCATCTTCTCCATTGAAGACCCCAAGCGGGACTTCTGCTCACATTTCTTGCTTGGCTGTGATAACCGTGGTGAGCCATCTATGTCCGTTTGGTTCATGGGAGCGCAACTCCTCGTAAAGCACTCTAAGGACAAACCTGTCCTGCACCAATGCACCCGCTGCTGGGCCTTGACCCACACTGAGTGCTTCTGCAAGCGCAAACTACCCCTCTGCCAATTTTGTGGCAAGGACTCCCACACCACCAACCAGCACTGCAATGCCTGCAGTACGTGCGCTCTTGAGAACAATCCTGCGACCATCCCGTATCCATCTGCTCATTTCTTCTGCTGCATCTGCAGAATCCATGGCGAGCATCATGCCGCCGACCCGTCTTGCACTGCCTGTGCTCAGTACCGCATTCCTTCGCTGCCAACTGTCGCTGCATCATGATTCTTACAACTGTGCAGTTGAATGTAGCCCGTTCGAATCTGCAGCTCCATGGCCTTTTAGCCAACACTTCTTTTGATCTATATTTCATCCAAGAACCTTGGTGGGGACACATCGGGTTTGACACCCCTCACAGGGCTGAATCTGGTGCCCCGGTCTTTGGCACTGTCAATGCTGCTCCCTTTAATCTTGTCACCTTCCACCTCCCTCATTCCAACCCAACCCCCAGGCCATGCATCAGCTGCCTGGTGAGGAAGCACCTCTTTAACTCTTTCCATGTTATGCTCCGTTCTGATCTCTCATCTCATCGCGATGTTCTCATTCTCTCTTTTGTGTCTCGTTCATCGCCCGACGATCAGTTCTTGGTCATTAACGTCTACAATGACATGCCCGCGACTGGCCAAGCTGGCCTCCGGCACCTCCTCTCTCTTTCATTTACACCTGATGTTCCACTTCTGCTGTGCGGGGACTTTAACATGCATCACCCTCTCTGGTCGTGGGAATACCGCGCCTTCCACACCACTACTATAGGGGTGGATGACCTTGTCCAATGGATGGTCAACCGCCACCTGGAGCTCATCACTGAACCCCACCTCCCCACTCACACCATCAGAGGAAATCCCTCCATGGGCACCATCATCGATTTGGTATGGGCCTCGATCAGCCCCCATTTCGCTCTTTCCCAATACTCCATCGAGGACTCCCCATGGGCCTCAGACCATTCCCTCCTTACCTATACCATATGCACTGAGGCCATTTTTGCAGAAGTAGACCTAGGCTTCCGTGTGGACCCTTCCCTCTGGAGTGAGCGGCTTGACGCCCTCGATATTGCTCTCCTAGCTAACCTTCCCCCCCTAGCTACTCCTCAGCCTCTGACCTCAATCGAGGTGCAGCAGCTCTATCACATGCCATCGACACTGCAAACCTCACCACCTTCCTGCCATGCACCCGTGCTCACAGACCATCACAACTGTGGTGGAACGACAGTTGCAACTTTGCCTGGTGACGAGTCCAGGATGCTCCTACCCCTGAGGCACGTCGAAGTGCTAAACGAGACCTCCAGCAGGCCATCCGCACTGCACGTAAGGAGTGGGCCATTGGGGCAGCCTCCTGATTGCAACACACCAACCCCTGGCATCTCTTCTCGTGGACCAAGGGGCAATGCACCCCGGTGCCATCCATCATTCATGCTCGTAATGAGACGCTCAGCCTGCCTGACAACATCAGGTGGGCGCTCACCAAGCATTATTTTCCTCCTTTACGCCCTGTCATTTTCCCTCTGTACCCAGTGCTGCGGACACCCCACCCCCTTCTCGAGAGTGAGGTGTCTGCAGCCATATCATCTACTTTCCTTCTTTCTGCCCCGGGCCCCTCCGGTACCTCCTAGAGGCTCGTCCGATGGCTCTGGCAGTCTACTGCATGCCACACTCTTTTTGACTTCTTGGCCGCATCGCTCTCGCTGGGCCACCTTCCTTCTTCACTGAAAGTTGCCGCTCTCGTATTCATCTCCAAACCTGGGAAGCCAGACTATATGGTGCCGAGTGCGTACTGACCCATCACTTTGCTCAAAACCCTGAGTAAGCTCCTGGGAAAAGTGGTTGCCACGCACCTTAATTGGCAGATCGGCACCCTTAACCTCATTCCAGGCACTCAGTTTGGGGGCCAATCCCAGCACTCCGTCATCGATGCGGGCATGCACCTGACCCATACCATTCGCACTGCTTGGGCGAATGGTTTTTCTGCTTCACTTCTTTGCATGGACATCGAGGGCTACTATAACAACATCTGTTATGATGTCCTGCACTCTATTCTCCTATCACTGGCCTTCCCCACCAATGAAGTTCGTTGGATCTCTTCATTCCTTGCTGACCATTCTGTCTCCCCCAAACTACAAGGGGAGCTTGGCTCTTCCTATCTCGTAGCCACTCTCGGCATACCCCAGGGCTCACCCCTGTCACCTGTACTTTCCACCATATATTCTTCCCCCCTCTATCGTGCGCTTGATTTCTTTCTCTATCCACAGCAAACCATTGCTGGATATGTAGACGATTTCACCCTCCTTATCATCTCCCCCTCGCTACAGCATAATGTCACCCTCTTACGGGACACTCTGCCCACCATATCTGATTCCCCTGGCATGCTCAGCCTTACCGTCGGCATGCCCAAAACTGAACTCATTCATTTCTGTCCATCGGCCGCTGGCCTGTCCTCTAACCCCCCCTTAATATTTCAGTGGAACGGTCGCCAAGAGCACCTTGAGCTGAAGCCCTACCTCTGGTGGCTTGGCCTCTGGCTTGACTGTACGCTATCATTTGAACACCACATTTGCGTCATGGCAGCGTGCACGCAGTCCTGGGTCATCGCCCTGCACCAACTCGTGAACACCCAACGCGGAATCTCTGTCACTCAAGCCTGCCTCCTTTACCTCTCTACTGTATTACCAGTACTCACCTTTGGCAGCCCTGTCTGGTACAATCCCCATGCCCCGAGGGCCCTCTTCTATCCACTCGAATGCATTCAAACCATGGCACTGCAGTGGTTCCTCGGCGCGTGGAAGTCCACTCCACAAGTCGCCCTAAACCTCATCACCAGCATTCTCTCGATGAAGCAACAGCTGCAATGCCTCTCCAATCTCACCGCCGCATGACTCCTCACTCTCCCTAGGCATCACCCCATCATTATCTGCATGGGCAACCAGGCCCACCTCTACCCGCCTCAATTCACCCTCCTGAATCCATCCATATGCCACCGCCGCGCTGAGCACACTGCGATTACTGCTCTAGAAGAGGAGTTACCTCATGACTCCATGCGCACTGACCCTTTCCTCCAGCCGCCATGGCAGGAGCTGCACCCATGGGGAGCGCGAGTCACCTCGCTCATTCTGGCTCCCACCAAGGATGCATCCATGCATCATGTAGAATCCATTTTAAACCCTCTTTTGTCCACTCACTTCTCCGACCCCACAGCCCTCTGGGTGTTCACCGATGGCTCCAAAACCTCTCACCCGCTACCAGCCCCTCGTCATCGTGCAGCAGGAGCAGGTGCGTGCATCTACCATCATTCCACTCTAAAATTTCAATGAGCATGGGGAATGGGGCATCGAGCCGAGGTCTTCGACATGGAGCTCTTCGCCATCACGACCATGTCCTCTTATTTCCATGGCTTTCTTAATGCCTACCCCAACATTTCCATCATCTACATCTGTGCAGACAACTGCGCAGCCCTATCTTTCCTTTTTTCTTTGAGCCCCCACCCAGGGCAGCCTTTCTCCATCACTTTTCGTAACCATCTCATGCCGCTCATCGGCGATTTCCCTAATTTGAAAATAACACTGGTTTGGGTACCTGGTCACCGCGGTGTACTGGGTAACGAAGTGGCCGACCGCCTCGCCCAGATGGCTGTGTCCCAACCCGAAAGCATCTGTTCCACAATTGCGTGGGTGCAGCGGTGGGCGCGCGAGTGAGCGACCTCCTCCTGGCAGGCAGAATATGTGGCTACTGATCGACCCACTGCTTTGCATGAAGCCTGGCCCTGGGCCCCTTCCACTACTCTTCATTCCGTTTTTCGCTCCGGTGATTATTCTCGAAACACCGAGGGCCACTTTGTCCAGGCTGTCGTCGGCCATGGCCACATCAGCACTTTCTTCAATTCACGTTACCACTGAAGCTTTCGCGGGTGCATTTGCAACCCTGCACTCCTTAACTCATGCACCCATACACTACTTAGCTGCCTGCTGCATGATGACACCCGGCGTACACTATTCGGCACTGCCACTCCCACATGCACCCACCTCCGCCACCTATGGAAACATCCCGAGAGCTTGGATCGTCTCGCATTTTTCATCGCAACCACTCCCGCTTTTACCTCTGCGAGCCTTGCGCCTTTTGACCCAGGCTGACCGCTACACCCACGGTCCTGCCACCTTTCCTTTTGTCCCTTCTTCATACCTACCCTGAGTTGTGCCACACCATAGCATATGCCCGTGCCTGTACACTCTCCCTTTAAATGCCGCATATAGCGCGGGATAGAAATAAATGCCAAAAAAAAAAAAAGTCCAGTGTCTGCATGGGTTCTTGGTGTGCACTGTGCTTCACGTCCAGCTCAGATGTTTTAGCACTCACCTCCAACTGTACCTTTTCCAGTGTCTGCCTGAGCTCTTGATGGGCACTGCATTCTGTCTGCAGCTCTGACCGCACCTTTTCCAGTACCTGATTGAGCCCTTGATGGGCACTGTGTTCTACCTGCAGCTCCAACTGCACCTTTTCCAGCATCTGGCCTAGTTCCTCCACCTTCTGTTCTAGTACAATACGATCACTGCATGCTTCATCGAGCTCCGAGGCCTTGATTCTTATTGCTGATTGCACTGACTCCAGCTCAGACTGCATATTAACCAGCATTTGCTCTAGTTCCTGATGAGTGCTGCATTCTGTCTCCAGTGTCTGCACTAGTCCCTGATGAGCACTGTGCTTCACGTCGAACACAGATGTCTTGATGGTTAGCTGTGACTGTGCATCGGCCAGTGTCTGCTCTAGTTTCCTGTCAGCACTACACTCCATATCCATCTGGGATGTCTTCGTCCTGAGCTCTGACTGCAGATCCTGCATCTGCATGAGTGTTGAGTGAGCACCGCGCTCCTCTTCCAGCTCAGATGTTCTGGCCTGCAGCTCCAACCGCATGTCAATCATCATCTGCTCTAGTACCCTGTGAGTCTTGTGCTCTGCATCCATCTAATATGTCATGGCCATGATATCTTCATTTAACTGGCCTATATTGGCCCTGAGCTGCAGCTCAGCCTCATCATTCCACAGCTGCCACTCCACATTGTCCAGCCTCTGCCTGAGTTCCCAGTGAGCATTACACTCCACATCCAGCTGTGATGTCTTGGCTTCCAGCTCTAACCACACATTGTTTAGTGCCTGCTCAAGTTCCTGACATGAACTGCTCTCTGCCTCTAGAGCAGCATCCTTAACATGAAGCTGCTCCTCCGCTTCGGCTTTTGCACATTCTGCGGTTTTCTGGGCTTTCTTGGCAGCATAGAGTGTGGACATTTGGGTCTAATAAGTTGTCAGACTAATGCAGCTTATCTATGAAATGCATTGTTACTCACCAATGACATGAGCAGAATCACAATGATATAGAGGAAAAGCTAGATCGTCGATGTAGAATGAGGATTTGATCATCCAGCACTTTCAATGAATATAGCCTGCCATGCAGCTGCTCCATACACTTGTCCAGCATGTACAATGTGTGCTGAGTAGTGCTGATGTCCTCGATGACATGATGAGAAAAAGATACCACTTCGCCGAGAAGCCCAATATAACGCTGTTGCATGTGTAATTCTCGACAATTGTAGCCAAGCCAGGTCTAAGGAGATGTCCAAAGCTTGTCGTGAGCAGCGCGGATGTCGAGCTGCTTATGATAAGTGGTGCTGGCAAGTGTTGAAAAGTGCGATATTAGACATTTGAGGTGGTTGTCGTCGAGGCCAACACGAACAGCAGAATTATCCAAATCACTGTCCAGTGTAGTGATTGATTTGAAGAAGATGTCCATTATGGTCGCCTTGGTATTAACAGAGGACCAAAACTGGCCTCCATGTGAACAGCCAGTTTGCATTTGCAGATTTGACCTTAGACCATCTGATCATTGCTGGCCAGAAACCTTGGAACAATTGTCAGTGCATTGAAAAGATCGCCTATAAAGAAGGCTTACTGGTCAAAAGCATCTTTAAAGCCTGTGTACAGTCCGTCCAAAGACCGCTCAGTTATTCTCACATCCTCGGGGATGGCACCTATGTCCATCATCATTAAGTTTACGAGGTCGCTTAAGGTTTTTGTTTTCACTCCTGTGTTGCGGAACTGGCTGCACACAGTATTTCCGATTGCAGAAATGCTCGCCAATTGTTGAGATATATAGGTGCATTCCTTGAGGAGCCAGGAGAACTCAGATGGAAGAGCTAACCACGATACAAACAGTGCGCAAAAGAGCCCAATCAAGGGCGATGTGGAGACTAGCATCGCATAGATTTTAGGACACATCATAATGGCCTTGAGGATGCATCACAGCGGTCAACACCAATGCGATCACGATGAAGTGGAGATGAGTGAGCCTGTCATGGCACCGCTGGACAAGAGATCAAAAAGACTAAAAAGGGATGGTCACGTGGAACGTGCCACCCTGATCCCCCTGATCCCTAGGAATCCCCCTGAACCCTATGTGACGTAAGAGCCTGAGACTTACTAGTCGATGTGGCTGGTGCAGGAAAGGGTGAGAGATATATCAAGTGCAGCTGATAAGCTCAGTGGGTGCTACAGTGGTAGATGAGGAGAAACAATCTGAAGTTTAGTCCTCTACATGGCTGGTCTTATATACATGTACAGCAAGCTATCTTACCTAAGCTACCTATCTACGGGTATAAGCAAATGGCCGTACATGAAACAATGGAATGTCCAGAAGTAGAACAATAAGTGGGAAGATCGATGGTTGCCGCAGTAATGCGTGTGCCCATCGTGCCTATCTTGGTTTCCCTTTTGTTCTCCGGTGTGAACATCGTGCCTATCTGGGCTTCTGGCTAAACTAATAGGAAGCAGAAGGCCGATGCATAACAATAGTTCTTGTTCCCTTTATTCCCAAATGGGTGCCTCTATTGTATCCTGGAATAGACAGGTCTGACCGTATCATCTGCGGGTCTGGACCATAACATGTGATGTGGACTATCACCTGATCTCTACGTGTCATGTCTGTGGCTGAGTGGCATGAGATATTGATGAAGCACGTGATCTGTGGCGTGAGAAAAGTCACGTGTGGACTTTGTGATGAAAATCTGTGACACTACCCCCCTCTCAAGGCTCATTGTCCCGAGGAGCCAAAACCTTTATTTCCCCTTCTCGTTGCTCGCAACGGTTGGTAACTTCAGGAGGGAAGCCCTTCGGTGTAATATTCGAAGATTATCTGGGCTACTCTGTCTCCCGGCTTGACTGAAAATATGAAATCTGTTGTGTTAATCAGTACGACCTTGAGTTCTCCAGTATAATCAGGGTCAACGACTTCTGCGCCCATGTCGATTCCTCATGCAGCCAGTCTGCTGCATGGAGCTATTCATGTATAGGTATGTTTGGGGGGGGGCTCATTTCAACTCCCATTCCTACCACAGCTCATGTCTGCGGAGGGATTTCGTGCCTTTCTGCTGCATAAATATCCCATCCTGCTGCTTCATTTGAGGATTTCTTCGGTGATTTGGCGAGATCTGTCATTTTATGATATAGGAAGAACTCGTTCGGATGGTCGGACATATTGATTCTGTGTGTGAAGATTGGTGCAACTTCATATGAGGATAATTCGAAGCGTTTTCCACCAAAAGTGACGACCCTGATTGGTGCTTTGGCTGCATCTGGGTGTTGCTGGTGGAATTCTTGAAGAAGCTCATCGGCGTTGGTAAGATTTGTTCGGGGTTCCCATGTATCGTCGGAATGGTCATAGCCTTTCCATTTGATGAGGTATTGGACCCTTCCCCTTATGACCTTTGAGTCTAGTATTTCTTCAACTTCGAATTCTGGTTCTCCTTCGATTTCTATAGCTGGGGGCCTTGGGGGTTCACAGTGTGTGACCGTGTCTTGATGATACATGATCAACTTGCTAGCATGGAAGACTGGGTGGACCTTCATTTGCTTGGGCAATTTCAGTCTAAATGTGACTGGGCCTAGCTTCTGAAGTACTTTGTAAGGTCCGAAGTTTTGTGTGCCTAGCTTCACGGATTTGACTTTTACTCTGAGGTCTTTTCCTTTCAGTAGTACTAGGTCTCCGACTTTGAATGGGACTTCTCCCTTCTTTTCATCAAAGTACCATTTCATCCGTGAAGCTGAAACTTCCAATGCTGCCTTTGCCTGTTCTTGTGCCTCAGATCGATGGGCGAATAGATGTTCCAATGAGGGATGACATATTGATTCGTGTACATCTGGTGCCATTTTTGAATGTCTGCCATATTCGACAAAGAATGGGGAAAGTGCGGTGGATTCATGGGTCTGGTTGTTGTATGAAAATTCTGCCATTGGCAGGTAATAGACCCAATCATTCTGTCTGTGGTTACAGTACATAGGTAGGTACTGTTCCAACATCTGGTTAACCCTTTCCGTTTGACCATCTGTCTGGGGATGGTATGCTGTAGACATTGTTGACTTTATACCGAGCTTCTGGCAGAACTCCTGGAATAGTTTGCTCACAAATTGAGTACCTCTGTCTGAGATAATCTGGCGCAGCAATTCATGGAGTTTGAAGACTTCGTTATAGAATACATTAGCGACTTGTGACGATGTGACTGTGTCGTCCGTGGCATAAAAGTGCGCTTGTTTCATGAGTCTGTCTACGACGACAAGTATTGCTGTCTTCTTTTCTCCTCTAAAGTCCATGGCTGGAGGAAGCTGTGTGATGAGATCCACTGTGATGATCTCCCATGGTCCTCCTGGTACCTCATTTGGACGTAGTAGTCCGTATGGTTTTTCCCTTGAGTACTTGTTGCATTGACAACTGTCGCAACCTTGCACGTATTGTTTAACCATTACAGACATTCCTGGCCACCAATAATTCTGAATAATGAGCTCCAATGTTTTAAACCTGCCTGGGTGTCTGGCTGGTAATGTGTCATGATGGAGCTTTATTAGGTCAAGGCATAGCTGTTAATCTTTGGGGACATAAACCTTTCCGCGATGGAGCAGCAGTCCGTGCTCAAAGTTCCATTCTGCGAGGTTTTTCCCAAATTCACGCTGTCCTGTAGTCAAAAGTGCACAATAATCCTTGATCATCGTGTCATCTGTGAGTGCCTTCTTGATCATTTTCAGTAGTTGAGCATCATCAACTTCAGATGTGTGAGCGGGTCGAATCACATTGATAGCGAAAAATTCAGGTTTTAACAGCATTTGATTCGAATTGTCGCTGTCTACCCCCCTCTCATGGTCTGGCCTCCTGGACAGAGGATCGGCACATAGCATTGTCTTTCCAGGTCAGTGACTGAGTACAAAATTAAAGCGTGTGAGGAATAATCATTTTGAGCAACAGAAGCCAATAGCGCTGTCTGCGATGTCAGACATCTAGGCGCAAGAACTGTTAGCCACACAAAGTGCATCATTTACCTGAGCAAGTCATTAAACTGCATCACCCCCTTTTGCTGCTAGCAAAAGTCTTAGATGCCATTCACACAACACCCCCTGCCATTCCACCCTGGAAGTCAGAACCTGAAGCGAGGGTACCATTTACCTTAGCATTTACTCAGTTCATCCGGAGTCTGAACCTTGAAGCAGGGGTAGTGTCACAGTATTAAGTGGCACCTTTCTTTTTGCACCATTAAAGTCCTCATTTGAGTGGTTATTCGGATGCCAACCTTTATATTGGTCTCGCAACGTGGATACTTGGACAAACAGCACAATGCCGCCACATACATCACGGACATGACTGTGTCTACCACATGACCACCAAGCGCCCATGATTCAGCCACCCAGTCATGTGACACTGGCCACTTGCCCTATTCAGAAGTTGTCAGGCGTTGGTCACGTGACACCAGGCCACTTGCCCAGAAAGGAACCCATTGGACCATCAAGCTAGCAAGCACCCAATTCGCCACTCAAGATAGTGGCACCACTTTGCTGCCTAAACCAATAGGCAGATACCACAACAAGAGGATCCCCCTACCAACTGGCATACAGTATAGCCAGGTACAGGATAGGCTAGATCTTCTCACAACCCTATCCAGATGAAGACTGATCGTCACACTCATTGTTCTGAGTTTGGACAGATCCTCTCATCTGATGTTGCAACCATTGTGATGTGCTCTGTTGGCCATCAC